GGTTCACAATTAGTCTTCTTTGGGTACCAATTCTTGATATTTTGAGGTAATTTTTGCTAAAACCTATTCTTAATTCCTTCCTAAAGATGCTTATATCAATTATTAATCTCATTTACTTTGATTTGGTTCATTTATATTCTTATAAAGTAAATAGAAGTTTCTTTAAAAGAAAGTAGTATTAACATTTATCAATTTTTACTACATCCTTGTCTATTATCTATATTTCTAAGATAATTTGCTAAAATATTTTATTTAAGCTCTTCTAAAAAAAAACTTTTTTTCACTTAATGGTTGTGTTATTACACAACAATGCATTCTTTTTCAACTTGTGAAACTAGAAGCATACATCAATACAATATAATATAAATTATCAAAGATTCTAAGTGTAGGAGTTATAAAAAGATATTTCACCTCAAGCCTTTTGATTTTTTAGAAATAAAGGATGTAAATAAATAACATTCATCTATGTCTCTAGACTTGTATATATACCATTGTTGTAATATGTGGTGTTTGGCTTAAGAATGCATCGGGCACCTGGTTGTGGAAGATAAAAGGAAAATTGCAACAACAAGTCCTAACAACTCTAATAGATTTTTAAACAAATTATAATTAAAGATTAGCAAGTATAATCAAATATCAATCAATTTTAATCAAAATTAAAAAGGAGTTATGTAAGAATATAAAATATTTCTAAAGACTCTTTAAAAAAATCATAAAGAAATAATATAGAAATTCAAAAATATACTAAAATAGAAATCTTAATAAAATATTAAAATAGAAACCGTAATTAAATCTAAGTCAAATCTTAATCAATGTCTAACCAAATCCTAATCAAATCCTAAATAAATCTTAAATAAATCCTAATCAAATTCTAAAAAAATCCTAAATAAATCCTAATAAAATCCTAAATAAACCTTAGTCAAATCCTAAACAAATCTTAATCAAATTCTAGTCAAATCCTAATAAATCCTAACCAAATCCTAACCAAATCCTAATCAAATCCTAAATAAATACTAATCAAATCTTAAACAAATATTAACCAAATCCTAGTCAAATCCTAATAAATCCTAACTAAATCCTAATCAAATCCTAAACATATCCTAACCAAATCCTTAATAATCTCAAGTAATTTCTATAGCAGATTTAAACCTCAATAACTAATGAATGAATTTTTGATTTTAACTCAAATTTTACACACCTCTTCACAATTAAGTTGAAAACAAGTATAAAAATTTTGAAGAAAATCAAACTCACCAAAAAGAAGATCGATCCTTATATTTGCACGGATGTTGGTTGGCCTCCTTCTCCAATCTAAATATTGAATTTCCATTGCCAATATCTCCTTATTAAACTATTCAATTGATCTCAAATTTCTCAAATATATAGAAAAACAAGTCTAATACCTATATATATATATATATATATATATATATAATTTTTACTCCAATCCAATTGATAAATTGCAAGAAATCTTAGAAACCCTTACTAGATCTAAAACTCTACTTTCCAAGTTCTCAACCCACTTAAACCTCAATAACCCTTGATCTAATCCTTTGATCCATCTCAAACTCATAATATATATTGAATACATATAAACCCACAAAACTTCAAAATTTCATTTATAGATCTTTTGCGAAACTTAAAAAATTCTCCAAAAAGTATCATTTACTTTATTTCACAAATGTAGAGTCATCTAAAACAAATCTCAACTTTGCAAAGCTCTTATAAAATCAATAAAAATCCAAATCACCCAAAATTAATACTCATCAAAACCTTATCAAGTCTGCTCTCTAATCTAATTCTCCAATCTACCAAAGAGCCCTAGAATTGTTGTCAAGGCTTGGTTTTGTATCTTGAGGTTTGATTTTGATCTTGATTCATAACTGGTCCTCTCCAGGTATCAATATCTAGTTTTTTTAGGTAATTTTTTCTAGAATTTACTCTTAATTTCTTGTTAAAGATGCCTATATTATTTATTTTTCTAATCTACTTTGATTTGCTTTATTTATGGCCCTACAAAGTAAGTAAAAGTCACTTTTCTAAAAAAGTAGTATTAATACTAAAAGTTTTATTACCTTCCTATCTTTTATCTATGTTTTTTTATTTTATCTTTTAATTTGGCTCTTCTATAATAAGATCCATATTATCATCTTTTATCATATAGTTATGTTACAATACAACACCATTTACAAAACTTGGAATAAATCGTGTATGTGATTATTATCACTACCTTATAGGAACATCAAGTATGTATATATCAAACTCTATGACTTATATTGAGCTCTTATATTGACATCATAGGTGACTCTTTCTCATGGTTGTTTATTTGACATGCTCATTTGATACAAGTTAGTTGAAATTTGTAGTTATTTTCATTGTCTCCCTTCTAGTATAGGAGGTTTATTATTAGAGGCAAGAAATGTAGTGAACAATGTCTAATAGAGTGTGAAGGAGGCAATGAATCCAAAGTAGTAGATAGGAGGACTGGAACTTGCAAAAAGGAATGGAAGAGAAGGGGACCAAGACCTGCATTGAGAAAAGAAAGAGAAGTGGCAAAATCCATGATGGGAAAAAGAAGATACTTAACTTGTATTCTTATATATTTATTTTATTTATATACATAAAATAAATATATAAAAATAAGAGAAGGTGATAAGAATCTAATAGTTTATAGATAGCTTAATAGTAGGTAGCTAAATATTACATTTCTTAAATAATATTGAATTATTTTAGATTATTTTTAATTTATTAGTTTAGTAAAAAATTAAAAATTTAGATATTATCAAAAATTATTGCTTAAAATTGAAATTAGACATCATACCATTAAATATATTTTAAAATTTAATTATTATTTTTTAATTATATATATATATATATATATATATATATATATAAGATATGAATCTATAAAAGATTATATATATAAATATATATATATATATATATATTATTAATAATATATACATAAAAGATATAGATATAAACTAAAAAAAATAGCTATTTATAATTACATAAAATTAAAATCTTTAAACTGATTTTAAAATTTATAAAAAGGTATTGATAAGATTGAAAATAGTATCAATCTTGAATCCATATATACTAGCTATTAAGAAGGTCTTATAAAAAATTATAATGATTGTGAGGCTTATGGCCTAAATATAAAATTTTAAGAATTTTTATTTGATGAAGTGCAAGGTCCATCTAATATTATTAGCAATAAATTTTTATTTACTACATGCACAAAGTAGTAGATAGGTCCTTTGAGCCAATGAAAATGTCTTACAACAAGGCAAGAAGACCATCCAATTATTTGATCATTGTTGGAGCCTTTAAAACTACTTTTAAATAATACATTCTAAATACTATTTAGTATAATATCTACTTCTAATAGTATCACTAAATATTAAGAAGCTCGTCAAAGATCGTGGTACTAAACACATTGAATCTTATTATTATTACAAGCAAGGACATGTCTTTCTGTAAAATCTTTATCTTCATTCTAATATCTTGAAGGTTGAAATAAATTAAATTCTTAATTTAACAAACTTGCAAATGATAATTCTTAAAATAAACTATTAGCTTTAGATTCTCTATCTTGCAATGAAGTTTTCAAAATTAATCTCTAAATTTCAGTGTGTATGTGTGTTTTTTTTTTTTTTTTTTTTTTAAATTATATCAACTTTTTGTTAATGGCAAGAAAGTTTCCCAAATTTTTTGGTAATAATTGATGATACATTGTACATATTGCTTCAATATTTAATTTACATGTTTTATTTGTTTATTAATATGAGGATAAAAACTAACAACAACTCAATATTAATTACTGGTATATTGAAAAGCTTCTTTGAAAACCTTGATACAAATTGGAATTTATAGAAATTGCACATTAGAATATCAAAAGTATGCATTCATTGATGGTTTTAAATAAAAACTAGTTACAATATTTTCAGAAAGCCTTGCTCAATGAACTTTGAAAACTATACCTAATACCTCCATTTGTTGAATTTTGCATTCATACAAGCTCATCAGTTATACTCCAGGACATTTTATTTTTCATTAATTTAATCTCATCGGTTAATATTTAGTCATACTGTTGTATGAATAAATAAGTAAATAAATAAATAACTCTAAGAGAGCCATTATTGCTCATTAAATATCAATTGAAATCAATCTATCTTCATGAATTTTTTCTATAAAAGACAAAATTTGTAGGTCATTTAAACTCACTGTATTGTTTTAGTCTCAATTTTATAAAATACACTACATTATTCTCAGAGCGTTTATAGTAAACGCATCGAGACCAGTTCGAAATTCTCCAAAACTAACCAACCTACAAAAGTAAGGGTTGTAACATACAAATAGTTCAATTCTTTTTCATAATTATTGGATTAAAACAACTCACACATTTTGCAGTTAGACCCAATTCAAATAAAGTTTTCACTACTTTAGAATAACTACGAATTTACAAAAAATCAAATCGTATTCCTCTGCTCAAGCTGGTTGTTAAGTTTTTTAGACATCTTACCAAATTTCCTCTTATATCCGCTTAGTTTAAAGTATCTTTCAAAATATTGATTCTGCTTCATTTATTGAACTCTAAAACCATGAATATATTCGCTAATCAATCATCAACCCAAAAAGCATCGAACATTAATAGTTATCACCACTATTCTTTCTAATATTATTTTTACCTCCAAACAAAACAACTTTAGAACCATTCAAAACACATCTATTCAACTACCTTAGGCTTGTGAAGAATATACTAAACCCCCTGAAAACCACCCAGTCAATCTTATAATTCACGTTCCAAATTTATTCTCTAAATTAACTACAATAACAGTACCATAAGCCACAACATGATTACTGTGAAATTTGAAAAAAAAAAAAAAAAAAAACATAAAATGACTCACCCTTTCTCAAAAAAAAAAACAAAACAAAACAAAACAAACAAGCAAAACAAAAACAAAACAAAAAATCCACCCTATTTCTTACACGACATAGACATTACCCTGCCCACACAAGGCTTTCTAAATATATTTAGATATATATACATGTACAGATACAGAGGTAAACAATAAAAAAATAGGGCTTACCCATCTTAATCAATACAAAACCTTCATCAATTTTTTTGTAAGGAAAAGGAAGAAGCAAACGTTAGCTTCAAGAGCCTTTGGAGCAGAGTACAAGACTCAAAAGAATGCACCGACAAGCTGACGTCGGCGTCGCGGCGTCGGTGCGTCGAGGTTCAGTGCAGTTGAGTTTGCGGCGGCGCGTGACGGAGCTATAGCTAAGTGGGTCCCTAATGGACTGGGCACCACGACAGCCGCAGCGTGCACAAGAGTGTACAATGAAGCTACCTCTCTCTGTCGTAGCTGTTACGGGACTGCGACCTTAATGACTTCGACTCTGACCTCGAGGATTTGGGCTCAGAACTCATGGATCTGGGTTCCACGCTGCTGGATTTGGAGCTCTGTGTCAAGGACTTGGACTCCGAGCGGAAGGACTTGGAGCTGGTTGACACGGATCCTGATCCGAAGCATGTGCTGCGAGGAGTGCCATCGACGGGTAGTTCCACGGGGCGTTTGTAGCTATCCACGCAGACAGCTCGGAAGAAGTCGTCCACCATTGCCAGATAGAAAGGTGACCGCAAGCTCATGTACCCCTCCAGAAACTCGTCGACGTCGTTCACTTCGGAGCAGTATTTGCCTTCCTCGAGCATCATCTGTGCCACATCGTCGTGAAACACGGCAACGGCTTCCTGAGGAGTGATCGAATCCAGTGGGATTACGTCCGTGTCGTCCATGTAGCACACGCTGTGTTTCCCGCTGGAGCACCTCGAAGTTTCGCGTCGATCTCCCTTGCGGCTTGCGTATTTGCCCAGCAGCACCACGACTTTGGATGTTTTTCTGGAGTGAGCATTTTTCCTGTCCGAGTGACGAGGGGTGGAAGAGTTGGACGAAGGGACACTTGAATCGCTCCGTCGGTGATCGTAGTAGTCTCCTAGTTGTCTCTTATCCCTGCTAGGCGAATCTAGTAGCTGTTTACTGACAATGCTTGTCAAAGTGGAAGGAGATAATTTGGTTTTGTTTCGAAGGGTGCTTGTAGAAGAATACTGCGGTGATCTGGATTCGAATGACTGTGATTGAAGGGATGAACGGGAAGAGTAGCTCGAGGAACTCGCATCACTGCGATACTTACACCTCCGGTCGAGATACTGCGACGAACGGTCTGAGTACTCTTCGGAGGTCCAGTCCTCAGATAGACTGCTGCCAGAACGGCGTGATGAATACGACCCAGTGCTTGCCGATGTCGTTTCGTGATACATCTCCACTCCAGAGTCAGTATCATCTGTGCTCGATCGAAATGCTAAATTAGTCACTGAAGATGTTGCGCAAGGGAGAAGACTACAAAACGGCAGGTACAAAACCAAACCAGTGCGTCAGCAATTGAGGTTACCTGGGCTGTAATTAAGTGGTTGCGCACTAGACGGAGTATCCGACCGAGCAAGCGATTGCGCACTCGCGGCAATACCTGTGCGATTAGAGAATCCACTCAAATTTCTGCCTTCCCCTAAAGAAAGAGCCCTGATGCTAAGCTCCCCGCGTCTCTCGAGTGACGTCCCAAAGTCCTGGCCCGGCCACTCAATTAAGCTTGACAAAGAGCTCGCGCTCGTTCTCGCATCTGACTTCAAGCTCATGTCTCGACTGCAGTCATTGTGGGCGCTGGACATGATCGTCTCTGGGATGGACAAAACAGACCTTTCTGAACGAAAACTGCTATCATTGCTATAGGAAAATCTCTCAGAACCCGAGGGTGATCTTTCCAAGGAAGAGTGACTTCGAGACAAAGAATCAAGTCTCAGATTCGGCACAACACACGGAAGAATCCTAGGCGAGCGTTCTACTACAAAATCCAATGGAGGCGGTAATCTCTCCAATGCTACCTGCTGTTCCGTTTTGTAACCTATGGACGCTGTTACAAACTGTATGGGCGGCCCTTCACCCTTATTTCGGTGTTGCTCGATGCCATAGTCTATCGATGCGTTTACGAACTCAATAGGAGGTTCTAAATTCGCACTCAGATCATTCTTATCATTAATGTCGAGATCTAGATCTACAGACGCTGTAACATTAGTAACAGCGGTGGTCTTAGACCCTGAAGCAGCGGCTATATATTCCTTGCCAAGAAGTTTCCAGTTCTTACGCGGAGTTGCGTTGGAAGCTTTGGAGATTATTCCAAACTTCTTGACGAGGAACTTTGGACTCCGCTTCTTAATTGCGCCGCTCTCGTAATGAATCATACCGCCCCTAGTTGTCAATCCATCTGGCTTATGAGCGCTGGCGGAAGACGAACCATGGTCCGATCGATTCGCATCGACGCAATTCGAATTTAGATGCAGTTCCTGGTCGACCTTAGCCATTTCTCCACCTAGACCCCAACGTGGTGCCAAAGGTAAGAAAGACTTCGGCGTAACAAGTCAGGAGGATTGCTGCAAATGATGCAGACTTGCCTGACTGGAGGAACGGAGTCGTGTCCGTCAGCTTCTGGCCAATGCTGGCATTCACTGCTGTCTTAGATGAAGTAGATTCGGACTCTCCCTCAGACTGTCTCAGGAACATATCATCTATCGTCTGTTAACCACCTATTACGAAGACCTAGAGAAAATCTCTTGGCTCCGATCTCAGAGTATACCACGATTTGAAGAGCGCCAGAGCCGATTCGTGAGAAACCTACTCTGCAATGCTCACATCCCTCTCCAATCACTTCAGTTGTCCTGCATTACCGCTAAAATAACCAGAACTAACTCCGTGCTCCAAATCTCGCGGCATTCCGAAATGGAAGCACACCACTGCATCATTCAGCAGCACAATCCAATGAGCTTTACCACATTGCACGCAATGCTGCTAAATCACTTGTCCTACCATTCATTATGCCAGACTTACCTCCCTCCCACCGGCCTAGAGTTTTCCATCTGTATCACAAAATGAAGCGTGTCCACCTTAATCAACAACATCCCACTCCACAAACACTTCGAATACGCAAGCAAAGTCGTTTCGAAATGCCTCAAATTTGCTAATCGGAGAAAAACCAGTCTAAACCAACCAAAATAAAGAAACCCACAAACCAGAAAACAAAAATGAACGTGAGAAAAACTTGAATCTGAAGCCTTGAACTCCGCAATGGGAAGCAGAAGCGCATACCCTGTGTAGCGACGAAGGATGGAATGTGAGCACATCCCTTCCTCCCCTGGAAGCCGCCGCTCCGCCTCGACGGTGGGCACTTGCATCTACAGTAACAATTTGTCATTTACACCACCTTGGGGCCCCATGTCCCGAAGCGTCCACAAGGCCAGGTTGCGATGCGCGAGCAAATCCTATTGGAAGAGATGACACACACGCGTCTGACGTGCACAGCTCCTTGTTGCCGGATTTTCTCGCATCGTAGAAGGATCTCACGATAAAAGGTGCTCTACAACAAGGGATTGCAAGCCTGCCAAGATGACTCCCGGAATCTATTGCCTGCCACCGCCGGGAAGTGTGTGGAGGTTGAGGCTATATGTGGCCACCTCCCGCATTCCCCAAGTCGGATTCCCCTTCCGTTGCACCCTTGCGCATCCTGCAGTTTTGTACTGCTCTGTTCTAAAATGCACGGTAATGTTATTATAAGCATTCTTTCCATTTACTGCGTGCCCAAAAATCGGTGACTAGATTGTTATTGCTATATATATCAACGTATACAACTCGACCAAGCTCGTGTTCATGGGATGCACAGCTCGGAGCTTGTGCCGCTGCACCTTCCTTGCATGCATCCAACTACGGCTTGCCGGAAATGTCGAAGGAAGAACATAAATGTACATTCCCACACATGCACATACATGTTTGTACAAACATACATGTTTTTGATTTGAGCTCCACCTCATTATTTACTAAAGGCCTTCAACTCAAGCTCAATTCTCAAAATCCGCGTAGATTGAACCTTGGCAACTGCCTGGTCACTGGCAGAGTCATCTTTTGCAAACTTCCGCATTTTCACGCCTACGTTGTGAAGCTGGTTCCTCTGAAAGCAAGCCCCCAGCGTTGTCGATGAAAGCAGTGCTAATCTTATCCTCATGGCCGTGATGCAAACTTCCACATGCTTGCATGCTGCGGCTCGGTTGCCGAGCATTCCAGGCATAGAAAAACGGAAACTCATTGGGGTTGTTTGTATTAATAATTTACCTGTTTGTTTGTTTGTTGTTCAAGTACAGTACTACTCAACTGAAGACAGCAACTGGGTTGATGCTTTCACTTGCACACACTTGGAGCGTTATTTAAATATTTATCTGTTTATTTTGTTATTTGTGTAACCGCTTCTTCCTGGATGAGATCATGACGGTGGCCACCCACTTCACACAAAAAGGTCACCTGCATTTTTGCACACGCTCCATTTTCAAAATGGGAATTAGACGCCGTGTGGGCCTGAATAGAAATAAAATAAAAATGACCTCATGTTCTCCGCCCCCCTGGTGGCAAAGTCATTTGGCATGAGCTGCGGCGACACTTGGCTATGGTCTACAGATTAAGGTTGAAAGGAAGGGCAAACGAGCAACAAAAAAACAAAAATTAAAATATTAAATTTATCACTAAATGTTTGCACGGATAAACGACTCAGTTGCTCCCTATTTTGTATCAACTGTGCTTGCTTACGAGCTTCCTATTTAAGTATCGTTTGGAGGCAATTTACTTTGACTCCATTATTTTATTTTTGTGCCTGGTTTTCTTTTGAAATAATAGTACTAAAAAGAATGTAATCTAATTGCACTTCAATATTTTTATAATTCTGTTCCAACAATTATGACCTTTAAAAGTATATAATTTGAAGTAGAAGACATGTAGAATAAAGTTTTACAATTCAAGTTTCTTATAACACAAGAAAAGACTTGATGACAATAAGAAGGTTTGTCTTTGTATTGTGGAGAGTATAAATATATTGCTTAACATTATCCAAAGAGCATGAGAACTACAAAACAACATGCACAATTAAACAAAAAGGTACAATGTCAAAAAATTAGTTTTTTTAATTACAATAAAAATCAAGAATTTAGTTTTGTATAAAACATTACCTTATAAAGCTTTTATATTTTTATTCATATATATATATATATATATATATATAGGATCTAAATGTATTATTTTTTTTATGATAAAATTTTTAAATACAAAAAAACTTCCACATATAGAAATTTTAGATGGTCAAATCTTATCTTTAAGAGACAAGCCTACTAAGTGAGGCTCAAAAAAGTAGACTTAAAAAATCTTTAAAAAAATATATATATATATATATATATATATATCAAAAAAATAAAAATAAAAGTTTTTTCTTTCAATAACTATAATATTTTAATCCATAGATCCTTAATTGTGAGTACTGCTATCACATGTGTCCATACAAAGACTAAATTCAAAGCTACAAATCTTATGATGGTAGAATTGTCTTGATGAAAAATAATGTGGCTTATAAGTCAACAATAATATATAAGATTTAAATCAAAATATTTTATGGTATTGTGATAACATTATCAAATATTAAATGTTAGCTTGAATTGAAGAAAAATATGCTAAATTTTAATAGATGTAAATATAGTAGAAAAGATGGAGTCCTTAAAGTCATGAAAAAAATCTTAATAGTTATAAAAAGATGGATGTGTAGAAATTTGTATTAATTAGAAAGAAGTACTATTACATGTTGAATTACAATTGTCTCTATAAAGGAAGGAAAGATCAACTCTATTCACCTATTGCATCTTTGATTGGGTCATACAAGTTAGCAAAGTTTCACAAAGTTCAAAAAGTAACAATAATATTTAAAAGTCAATACATATAAGTTCAATTTTTGGGAGCAAATCATGTTTGAAAAGCAACACATAGTTAGTTTTAATATATTTGTATATAAAGTAAGTTCTATTAATGAGTCTTAATTAGAAGATTGATTAAAAATATAATTTTTAATTATTTAGTTATAAAAATATTAAGATTTGAAAGTTTTTTTAATTATCTAAGTATTTATTAAAATTTAGAAGTATTTATAAGTTATAAAAGCTTTATTAAAAGAAAAATTATATTCTTAAAAGAAATTATTTTAGTTGGTTTAGTAATTTTTTTACTATTAAATATTAATATATAATTATTTAAATCAATACTTATTTTGGTTATATATATATATATATATATATATATATATATATTACTTATAAAAAACCTATAAATATTAGTTATTAATTAAATAGAACATAAAAAAGACCTCATATTTTTTTAATTATTATTATATTAAAAAATATTTTTAATTGATTAAAAATTGTTTTATTATTATAAAAAATTATTAATATAGAAAAATATAGCTTTAAATTGATATTAGCATTAATAATATTTTAAGGATTTTTTAGAGAAAATTTCAAGATTTTGGTAAAATTAAGTTTTACCAACTTGAAAGCTAATATAAAGAAAAGGAAGAAGATTTGAAGGTCTTACAATATCTATATTCTAATCAAATATTTTTAATCACCATAATAAAGTTAAAAATACAAAATAAATAATTCTACTAGTAAACAATCAAAGAACTAACATTTAATGTAGTTCTTATATAAAAAGAGGTGCATAAGTGTCACGGACACAAAAATACAGGCTCGAGATCTAACAAGAAGTTCAAGAAGAACTGGCAAGAACTAGATTAATCAGATGAATACAAGAACAACACCAGAGAGGTGAACTAGAGCTCCAAGAGATGTGTTGTTGAGATTGAAGAACTCTTCAGCCTCGATTCCAATATATACTCCTATTTAGGAAGCTTCTCAAGCAACTTCTACCAACTAGGAAGCTTTTCAAGCGACTTCCATCAACTAAAAAAATTTTAAAGTAACTTCTACTAATTAAGAAGCTTCTAGAAGGTTGTAGAGACTTGCTTCTAAAAGGTTCTAGAAACTTGTCTCTAGAAGGTTCTAAGGACTATGTCCCTAACATCACTCCTTCCTTTAGCTTCGAGGTCTCTAAGAAGCAATGTTGTTGTTAATCAGTACCAATGCAAGAAAATGAAGATCTATCGCATAACATCTGCTATGAACTCCAACTGTTGTTCACGAGGCAAGTGGTTCATTAGCCCTTGAAGCCAATAGTAGTGGCCCACACCTTTGACTTTTGAGCAAGCATGAACTTCCGTGTCCTCATTGTGAAATTGTCCTGCAAATACACCTTCTGGTTGACCATCGTAAGCAGGCTTGATCTCAAATAAAATCACTAGTGATGAGTTACTCGGTATCCTCTATCGTCATCATGGTGTAGGCGGTTCTTCATCTTGGGATTGCCTTCGTGAACTAGTCAGTTGAGATAATCTCACTGGCATAGTATCTATCTCTTAGCTATCCATATCAGATGACCAAACTATAGCTACTAAAAAAATTCTACTTTATCTTGGACAAAATAACTACATCAACTACGAATTTTGGTGGTGCTCTCCCCCTTTCTTATATTCTTGGATGAGCAAGCTTCAGAAGGAAGCTATCGTCGAATCGGCTTAGGTTTATGAGGATGTTGTTGATGAAATTCTTGTACCTTTTGCGATGTCATACTGTAAATGCTTACAGTATGTAAAAATTAGTTAAAACATATTATATGTTGATAAATCTAGATGTGTGTTAGAGTGGCTAGTAGATTAAATTAAAAGGAGTTGGTATAAGAAACTTTACTTTGTTTCTTTATTTCTTTTGATTTTGACATTATATATATATATATATATATATATATAAGACCTAAATGTTTAGTATGAAGCCTTGGGAGAAGGTAGAAGCCTAAGGATAAAAATCTAAACTAATAGGAGGCTAATTGAGAGGGATGAAAGCAAGGCATGGTCGGATGAAGGCAATGAATGGGAAACTTCATCCCTATTGGTCGAAGGCCATGCCCAATGGATTTCAAGGAGGCTGCCCGAGGCCTTATTAGGGATTAGGGTTCCTCTTTTGAGGGCATTCGGAGATTAGAAGCTAGGGTTGTAAATTTTAGGATTTGGAGAACAATTTGTGTACAAAAATTAGAGGATTTGGAGTTAGGGTGAAAAAGTTATAACTGTTTGAAGTTAAGGTGTTTATTTAAGACATACTATTACTCTTTTGACAGTAGAAGGAGTTTAACAGCAGCTTTTGAAAATCGGAAGGTGCGACTGAAACAACGATTTCAAGACCTACATCTTTCATGAAAGAATTATTGCTTTCAGAGTTCATATGAAGGAGTTGTAAGGAGTTGAAGACGGCGCTTCCAAATCAAAAGCAGTAAGTAAGCGGGTTTGTTTGTAGTAATAGTTGGAGCCATAACTTGAGTTTTCGGACGAATTTTTGGCTCAAACTTTTTGGAGAATGTAAAATTTTGTGTTAAAAAGCTATAAATACAAATTTCGTGTCATTTAAGCTTATATTTTGTGAGATATGAAGAAAATTGCATACAGATGTATAAAGACAAGGGTTTGAAGCGACTGTTAGGGTTTTCAAGATATGTCAAGA